TGTGTATATATATATATATATGGCTAAAGATAAATGAAAAGTTGTGTGTGTATGTGTGTGTGTTTTTGAAGTACTCTTGATCCTAGTGCATGTTTGGTTTTTTTAATTTGTTTTATTTTGCTTACAAGTAGCTATTAGATCTGCAAATATCAACCTCTCATTACTTCTTAATGCTCTATTAAAATTATTTGAAGGGTACTCACAGATATGAGAACATTTGTTAGTTCACAAGTAAAGGTACATTTTCAGATGCAGTAGAGTGGCACTGTAGAAATATATTTGAAATGAAGTTAACACTTTGTAGTTATTTGTTGGGCATTGGAATTTTAGTCACAGAGCAGTATTTTATTCTTTTTTTAATGGCAAAAGGAGAAGCTTGCTCCCAGATATTTAAATTGCAAACCTATGTAGAAATCCACATGCCTGCAAGGTAATACTCTTCCCAAATTCTAGATTTCTATTTTAGTACAGCTATTCTCTCAAATCCTCAAATTGAAATCTGTGGAAAGTCTCATAAGTATATGAAATGTAGCTTTGTTTTGTTTTGTTTTGCTTTGTTTTCCCCTTGCCCCTAACATTCAGCTCTGATACTCAGGTATTCTTTTAGTGACAGCTAAAATGCAGCATGTATGAATGATTTGCAGTTAGCTTGCCTCCATGAACACAAATGCCCCAGCTTCAGCTAATCATGACTTATGCCCCATGCCATATTATTGCTGTTATCCCCACACCAGCAGATGGTGAGACTGGACCCCTGGGGTATTCAGACCCAGTGTTTTCAGGTTAGACATCTTCCAGTAGCCGTAGTCAGTCAGAAAGGGAAGGATTTTAATATAGCAAAATGGCTTCTTAAAAAGAAATTAATGGATGTTATGTGTAAGGTTTTCAAGTAATACCTTAAAATACCTTTGCACTATTTTTTAGTACAAAATATGAAAGTATATTCAGGCATGTCGCGATTCTTTAATCTAGAACTCCAGGAAGTAAAAAGATACATAGAATAATGGTTTTAATTTTTTTTATTCAGAACTCATGATTAGAAATACATTTTACATAAAACAACATATATGTACAGGCACATATAAAAATATATATATTACAGGCACATACATAAATCAAACCAAAATTCACTTAACAGTGTTTCACCTTACATTGTGCAGCACTTTCCTATTCTTTTGTTGTTGTAGATGTTAATCCCATTTCTCTTTTTTTAAAAATGTCTGATGACCAGTTGCCAAATAAAACATCAGAGCCACTAATGGATTGGTAACCTACCTGCAGATTGAAAAACGTACTAACCAATCAACATGTGCTATAAAGAAACATTGTGAATATTCTCAAATTATTCTATTAAAAACTATTTTCCTGCTATTGATCACATCACCTGCCATTTATATAACAAGAAATTTAGTATTCTCTAGTAATTGTATATATAACTAAGGAATTAAAGGATATAGAGTAGCCATATTTAGAAACAAAATTTATGTTACTTAATTTAATTTATTTTTGAGACAGGATCTTGCTGTGCAGTTCAGGCTGACCTTAAACTCACTGTGTAGCCCAGGCTGGTGTCAAACTTGTGAAAGTCCTTCCTGCCTCAGCCTCCCAAGTTTAAATTTTAAATTTGATTTAAATGATTTTAATTTAAATTTAATTTTAAATGATTTGACAAGGCTTAAACCTTTAAACACATCATTTCTCTTTATTGTTTATAATCAAATAGTAATTTTATTTTCTTGAACTTTCATTTCTTTTATCATTTCAGTTATTCCTGTTATCCTTTAGTAGGTCATATAATAATAGGTACATAATTTAATAACAGATACATAAAGTAGATTGGTTTTATAGGTTCCTAAGGTAAGGAATTAAGGACCTCTTGGTTTTTTGTGTCATCAAATAGAGTTCAGAATGTCATAAATTTTATTGTTTACTGTTTACTTCAGAACAGTTTGAGTTGTATGAAAAACAAAGGAACTATATCATCTCAGCTGTCATTTATTTCTTCACTTAATATGTAGGATTTTTGTTCATTATAGTTGACTTTTTCTTTTTTTTTTTTTTTTTTCAGTAACAGAGATTGAACCTAGGGCCTTATGCTTAATAGGCAGATGCTTTACCACTGAGCTATATTTCCTACCCTATTATTGCCACTTTAAAAGTTGTGATAGTGTTATAGGGACACATAGAAGTCATATAAAATAATACGCTATTATAACTCTTGAGTGTTCAAAAGAGAAAAAAGCATTCCTGATCTTAATGAGTTGAAACTGATACTGAAGGTAAGTTTGTGAAGCAAATAATATATTCTTAAATATTTCCTTTATAGTCTGTCTATATATAGATAGTATTATAAGTGTTTATACAGACTAAAATAAAATAAAAGTTTATGGAGCAGAAGGTAATTTCATATAAACATGTATATTTGCATACACTGAAGCCAGTTTCTATTATTTATAGGAAAAATTTTTGAAGAATTTATTATAGATTTCCTTGTTGGTGTTAATAATAAAGATTTTCACAGGAACTTTTTTGTTTCTTTCAGATACAGAAACAAGTGAAAAAATACAAGCAAGTGGAATACTTCAGCTGTTTGCAAGTCTTTTGACCCCACAGTCTTCCTGCACAGCCAAAGTAGCTAACATCATAGCAGAAGTAGCCAAAAATGGTGAGGTTTTCCTCAAGAACTTTTCTGCTGGGAACATCTTCAGTTTTACACCTTACTTGTCAGTATGTTTTATTAATTTCTGTTTTAATTTTATAGATTAGACTTTTTTCCATTTCTCCTTTCTTTGACTTTTTTCATGTCATTGTTTTCAATAACTATGTTCCTAGTCATTTTATTCATACATTCTCCGTTTGCTATTCCATTGCTTTGAAGTAGAATTAAGGGAAAATACTGCTGGTCTTAACTGTATTTGTATCATTCGTTACTTTGAGTGTGGGATTCCTGAGCTTGTCGTTAAGTCATCCACCTTCACTGTCTCAGGAGAGCTAACTTTTCTAACATCTTTGTGTGGGTTGTGTTAGACTCTGTGATAGACTCATTGTGTTGTTTTCCAGTCTTACCTGTCCTTCTAACATTGGCATTTAATGTCAGCAGTGCAATTGATACTCTAGTTTTTGCACTTATTTTCATGAAAAATCTTTTTCATAAACTTGAAAATACTTTGGAAAAACAAAGCATAGCTTAGGCTATGTAATAACTTAATTCATATCATTATTTATACCTACTGAGATTCTTTGAAAGAAGTATAGCAGAAATATTTTTACATGTTTGTTAATTCAGTTAGTTTGAGAAAGCTCTTAATACTGAAAGCCACAGTAAATGTAATAATACTTTTAGTGTGCCTCAGTTTTTCAGAGTTTGTTATTATTTTTAGGTTTCCTATTTGAATGTGTTGCATATATTACACTTTTAAGAAAAAAATTCTGAAATTTTGGTTTCATTTGTATAAGCATTATGCTAGATGGCTTTGTAATGTTACATGTTGTTCTGGGCTGGTAAAACACTGTGTTTCTATGCGTGTTACCAGGAAGAAACTTGCCTTGCAACTTTTTCAGTTGTTGAGAAGGTTATCAAAATGTCTTTAAGGTTTTATACTGGTAAAAAAATATTTTGGTTATTTTACTGAAAATTGACCACCTATTACTGATTGGTGTGTCACATCTAAGAAGCAGTTCTCATTTAAAAATGGAACCTCTATACATTGTTAAACTAGACCAGTGATGGGGAACCTTTAGGGCCTTGAATGGTAACAGTCTGCTGCTGCACGCGTGCCGTAGGCTCACCACCACTGACCTAGACCAACTCTGCCTGAATCTCCTAGATACAAAGCAGTTTGTTTTTTAAGATCAGTAGTTTATTTTTTAACCTCATTAGAGTGATAGTTTAGATTCCCTGAAGTCAGAGATTCAATTTTTATCTTAAAACTTTTTTTCTTAGAATGGGCAGAAATATTATAGCATAAATTTAAAAGTTTTAGATTTTTATGAAATGGCTTGGCATTCCTATACGCTCTTTAATATAACTTCTCATAATGCCTTTTCACAGTTCCATGACAACTCTGCTATTATGGATTTGTTCAGTAATAGTGTAGTAGATAATAGTTGTGTTCTATGAAGGCAGTAGAATTTTTAGTATTCATACCTATAGTCAGAGACTAGTAAAGAGCATACCACTAACCTCTATGTAGTTAAATGAGATTGCTTTAGTGGTTCGCTGAAAATGTAGAGTAGAATCTTGTTGAGTATTCTTTTTTTTTAATTACTTAAATTGAATTTATTGGTACATTCTGGGTATACAGTACAGTTACATTCATTACTGGGATCTTGTACCTTTACATGACAGGTCTTGGTTCTCATTTTTTCCCCTTGTCCCCACTCTCCCTTCATCCCCTCCTCCCTCCCCACCTACAAACACTTCAATTCCATTTTTACATTTTCTCATATTTTTTCCCTTTCCCTTATTCCCCTTCCCCTACCCTTCTCACTGTCCCTACACCTTTAGTCCTTTTCTTCCTATTTCATGTTGCTAATTGTCCCATTAGGATCTTGAGTACTATTTTAGTTTTTCACACCAGAGAAACTATTCGGTATTTACACATGTGTGCCTTATTTATTTCACTTTGGAGTATATCCTCAAAATGTACCCATTTACCTATGAATGAATCTACTTTCTCATTATTTATGGCTGAGTAGTATTCCATTTTATAGAAAAATTGTTGAGTATTCTTAACAAATACGTACCATTAGAAACAACATGATACAACAGAGTGTGTTAATTGACAATGAAACAGATTGTATGAATTAGAAAAAAATGAATTTGAAAGTTGATCTGTTTTTACTATGCATATTATATAATGGCAGGAGATATATTAACACTTCATAGATTAAAGCTTGTAAATTTATTTTAGTTTTGTCTTTACTATACAACAAACTTTAATATAAAATGTTATAAGCATTATCTTTAAAAAGAACAGCAGTGGAAACATAAAGTGAATTTTAAAATGTCAGCTTGACAACCAGTATATTATATGTCAGTCATTCTTTTATCATGCCTCATAATTGTTTTGGTATTAAAAAAATGTGTATTTTAAGAGTTAATACAGGAAAGTATTTACTCCCTTAAATAGCTGAAAGTGGAAAAAATACATATAAATATTTTAAATATTTGACTGCTGCGGATGTAGCTCAGCAATGCTGTATCTCCCTGGCAAGCACAAGGCCCTAGGTTAAATTCCTGGTACCAAAAAAAAAGGCCAGCATGTAGCTCAGTGGTGTTGTAACTACCTGGCAAGCACAGGGTCCTGAATTCTATTCCCAGTACCAGGGAACGGGGTATAAACATTCATAAAGAGATAAAAAATGTTTTAATCTTGGTGTACGTAAAATTTTATTTCTGATTTCCATGTATACTTTATGATAGTGCTGAAGAATTTATAACTCAAATAGGTTTGTGAAGGTAAAAGTAAAAAATTAGCACTTTGGATTTAGAAAGGAATATAAAATATCCAGTCAACCAGGAACCATTTAATAAATATATTACTGATTCAAAGAGAAAATCATTCATAAGTAGGAAATAATTTTGTATTAAATCTTACTGATACTGAAATAGAGCAGTGCCTATTTCCTTAAAACCTCCATATTGAATTTCTGTGTTAAAGTCCACACATTATGCAAAAATCAAGGTCAATTTTGCTTGTGCAGACACACACACATGCCGCAATTTCTGCTGACGACTGACCGTTGAATTTCTCCTCGCAGCCATCCTGTTTTTTGTTTCAGCCTCACCCTTTCAGTCCTCCCCAGTCCCAAAGCACTCTTCAGTTCTCTGCAGCTCAATTAGCAAGAGAGAGAATCTGACTTTTCCTCAGTCCAATGCCCTGGTCAGTAAATCTTCCAAAGTGGACTATCTGTAGTCATTGACAGCCCTGGCTCAGTTCAACCAGCTCTGTTGGGTAGAAGCTCACAGTGAGAGCACAGGAATGGGTTGTCACATAGTAAGCATATTTTTTTTAAGTTCTTGGTATATTTTTTTATATAGATATATCTGAAACAGTTCTTAAAATTAGTGAAGTAGGGCTGCCATTCTTTAGTTTAAAGGATTTTAGAAAAGTTTGCTTTCTCCAGGACTAGTATCACTGAAAGCTGAGGGCTGTACTACTTTTATTTTTGTTTTTGTTTTTTGTTTCTTTGGGAGATACCGGGGATTGAACTCAGGACCTTGTGCTTGCAAGGCAAGGATGGTGCCACTGAGCTAAATCCCTGGCCCACACACAGTAACACACACACAGGCACATGTACACACATACCCTTATACTCCTATCTGATATGCTCAGAAAATCTGAAAAGGAACAGAAGAGAGGGAGGACCTGTGGTACATGCCTGTAAACCTAGCACTTGGGAGGCTGAGACAGGACAATTGTGAGTTTGAGGCCAGCCTGGACTACCCTGTGTCAAACACAAACACCCCATATACAACCAAAGTAAATAAATAAAACAGTAAGTAAGTACTCTTAGTCTTTTAAGTTGAAACTGCAGAAAGTTTTCAGTAATGCAGTGATAAGAGATATGATAGGAATAAAACCCTTTATTTTGGTGGAGAGGAATATCTGGCAGAACAAATTACAAGTTAAAGAATTAGCTCATTGTTAATTAACTTTATTGACCAGAACATCATTATGGTAAATTGTGATTGTCCAGAATGCAATTCTAATACTGATTATTCAAGAACTTTCGTCTTGTAACTTACATGTTTTCATTATCCTTAAATTTTGTAATGGTTCATTATGAAGCACTGTAAAAAAGAATCAGTTTATTTGTAATTATTGGGAATCTATTAATAGCACTGTAAAAAATAAGGAAAAATGAGTTTGAAGTATTAATAGGTGAGTATTTGATGCTTTATAGTTACAAATCCATGGATACAACGGTATATATAAAGTATCCATAAAATAGGCTTTAATAAAAAAAGAATGAATATAAGGACGGCATGATTCCCCACGGTTTTACCAGTTGAAAAGGGCCTGGTGTTGTTCATGACTAACTGAACATTGTTACATTTTGGCTTTTTTGAGAACACACAGTGAGAAATCAGGCCGTTCAGTGGCTTCATTGTTAACTGCAGTACTTAGCATCAGACTCATGTGGAGACACTCCTCTTTCCGAGCATGTCTGACTACTCTGAAAAGACAGTGATGAAGAGCTGTGATGAGAGTCAGCAGAAGGCTTTCTGTTCATGACAGAGACTGTCACAGAAAAGTAAAACCACACTCGTATTTTGTGTACTTGCTTCATGATGTATTTCACAGGATTGAACAGAAAGGTGCTCTTTGAATCCAAGCCAACTTCAGTGTTTTGCCAGTAAGGATTAAGGGAGGTGATTTATATAAGGTGTGAATCTTTTAATTTTTAAATTGAGCTGTGTCTCTTATTATTTTCAGAATTTATGCGGATTCCTTGTGTGGACGCTGGATTGATCTCACCACTGGTACAGCTGCTAAATAGCAAAGACCAGGAAGTGCTGCTTCACACGGGCCGAGCTCTGGGAAACGTGTGTTACGATAGCCGTAAGTGTTGGAAAACCAGTAGTGTGTCTGCAAATTTTTAAGAACTATAACTTTGCAGATTTATTGCACTTTGGTACTCAGACTTACTTTTTGAAGCTAAGACATTAATATGGACCAGATGAAACTGTTAAATAAGCTGATGGAAGTTTGGACCATTGTATTCTTAAATAAGAAGTTACAAAAAATGAGTTATCTTCCTTTGTTGTGAGAAGAGATTTTTCCAAGGAAAGTAAATATATTTCTAAAAATTGAGACTTTTAAATTTAGCAAAAATATATATGTGTATCTTTTCAGTTAGGTTTTATTGAAGTCCTATCTCTGAGTGAGAATGCTTATGGACAGTTTTTCAAATTTTAAGTCTGTCCATATTTTAAGCTTGCCATTTAATAAAAATACACCTAAAAACTGTCTTCATAAAAGTTAGATTGGCCACTGCCTTTGCATTGACTCCATTCCTGTTTGTCATTTTATCATTATCATACTTACCACCTTCTATTGCACACTGTTTTAGACAAAGAGAAAGCAAGAATTTGAGAATGGATATATTGCAAAAATGTTTACTTCTGTACACAAAATACGGAAAGCTAATAATTAGGTTTATCTTGGTTTTCCTTAAATTTCTGTTTGCTGAGCCCAAACCACATCTTTTTCTTTCACTTTCAATGCTTATTTTCCCTATTGAGTTGTGTTTTGTTAAAAATACAAAATACGTGCCCCCTGTATAACAGGCAGTACTTAAAACGTGATTTATATTTATGAGCCAGATGGAGTATAAACATTAATTTATAATAATAGGAAGAAAAAATTGAAACTGTAGTTACCAGCTATAAATTTTTATAGCAGTAGTGGCAAGGCTATCCTCATTTGTTCTCTTCTCTTTTTTTTTTCTGTAACATATGTTATGATAGCCATAGATTAAAATATCAGTAACATATCTGAAGACAGGATATCTTAATGTGAATTTTAACTTACATTTCCCAACCCCCGGTACTGCCTACAGATTTACTTGTCTATTCCTTTACTCCAGTTCTTTTTATCTTAGAGTATTAGCTTTATTTAGAAGATGGTAGTGCTTTGTGTTTATAATTTTGCATGTTCATACTTACTAAACACTATAATTTGTCATCCCAGCTCTGAAGAATGAAGCATTTAATAATATATGTTATGGTTAATTTTAGTAATGTATATTAAAATTGCCTCCACACAGTTTGTTATTAGACTTTAAGTCTGCCAAAAGTATTCATTACATTTTTAGCTATTCTTGAATTATGCGTTGTTTAGATTCAGGGAGTATTATCTGTTTGGAGTACATTTATCCTAGAATTTCTTTTAGTATTTGCACATAGCTTTTCTATGATACTGCTGTGGTTTTCATGGGCAGGGGGTAATTTTATTTCTTATGTACTCTGAAAATTAGATTTTAAAGTAATATATGTCCAATTAATAAAGTTGTTATTTTGATGAAACTGAAGTCCATTATTATAGTATTTGTTATGTGTATTTCCTTTATATTATGAGGTATAGTATAAAATTTTGTGGATATGCTTTAGATCATGCAGTTAATTTATTTATGAATATTTGTAACTACTTCATCCTCAGTTCAGTGGAATTTATAGTTAAGTGGATAATCACAGGGAATATACGCCATATTTTTACACTTTTAAACGTTAAGGAAAATGGAGCTAGCAGTTGAATAAATATAAGAACTGATTTATTACCAAAATCATGTGATATAAAGGTGTTCATAGTACTGTGCTGTCTTTTACATTTAATTTCCACGAGACTGCATACTTTCTTACCTCTTTATTTGAAATTTTCTTTGAACTTCTTAGTGCTATCTCTAGAAGTACTGTAGGAAAACTACAGTTTGTATTTGACTTTCAAAAAAGATATAAAAGTCTATAGATGGCTGCATGGCACTTGTTAATTTATTTGAAATGCATTTTTCCTTTCCTTTGTGAAAATTGAGAGTCTTAAGAAACCTAAAAAGTTAGGTTTCTCTTTTTTTTTGGTACCAGGGATTGAACTCAGGACCTTATGCTTGTGAGGCAGGTACAGTGCCACTGAGCTAAATCCCCAGCCTGGGATTCTCTTTTTAAAGTGTTTAATAGCATCCAATTAATTTATCAACCTTCTTTCCTCTCAGAAAGATAGTGTCTCACTGTTAAAAGAGAATAGATGGGCCGGTGATTTAGCTCAGTGGTGCCGCCACCTGTCTCGCAAGCTCAAGGTCCCAAGTTCGATCCCTGGTACCCCCCCCCAAAAAAAAGAGAATAGACAACTGTGACATCCTTGTACATAGCAAGGATCTTTTCCCCCAAATAAAATATCTTTTAAAATTTGTAGTGCATTTACAAATTTTTAAGAACTATGGTTTCTCAAACTTATTTGTGAGGCTGATGAGTGCATTTTCATATACTTTGTTAATGTATTCCAAATGAATATTTTTTTAGTGTGGTTTTATTCAGGATGATAGTAAACTTGCAGTAGATAGTAAGGCTGATATATACAAAAAATACTTTAAGCAGTTCTCTATTGGAGAAAAAAATAGAGAAATTGTGTGTTAAGGTTGTTACTTTCACATCTACAGAGTAAAGCATTTTACCTAGCATATTTCAGTTAGCATAGTTTGTTTGAAAGGAAGAAAGTTCCCTCTATAAAAAAAAAAATACTTAACTATAAAATTCATGGAAATCTTTAGAAAAAGACTTAGGTCAGATTTCAGTTTTAACAGCTTTGACTGCTCCATTGTAAGAGTTCTTCCTACTGGAAGAAAAAGGTTTTCTATAATTCTAACATCATAGCTACTAGGTGAGATGAAGTACGATTTTGATGCTGATGAACTTTTTGAATCCTAGTGCCTTTCTTGCATGTTGCAATGAAAGAAGCATTAATGGGGAACATTTTTTATTTTTTTATTTTTAAAATGCCTGATCTACTTTCTTTTCTTCCAGATAGCTTCCAAGGCACTTCACATAGATTTTTCTCTTTCAGAGAATTCAAACAGATTTTTGATACAGGCAACATTTTAAAATTCTTTTGCCCTTTAACTTTGCCAAAAATAATTTTTTATGAGAATTTTGACATATTTCAGATCAAAGAAGAGAAAAATTGTATTTCAGTTCGGAAAGAAATCAGCAAAGCTGTATGTATGATGGAATATGTTCAGAAGTGTGGCTTTAAATGAAGAGAATTATAGTAGTATTATTTCAGATATGTATGAGTTTGGTCTTTTACACATCCCTCATTCAGAAAGAGATGAGTAGTGTTTTCTTCTTGTGGCCATATTTGTGGCATTTGCTTTTCATTGCTATGTGTATACAGCTATGCACATGATGATATATTTAAATGGCCTTGTAGCTGTGGAAAACTTCATATTAAATTCCTATCATTCACATATATATATAGTTCTAAGGGACGAGTTGGTAATTGGAGACTGAATTTTCTGTATAGAGATTACCACTTCAGATCAGTAAATAATTGATACTTGATGTACTTGTTAAAAGATATTAGTAGAGGCTAAAAGAAAATGATAATATAAAATTAATTGTCCTTTTTAATACAAAAATCAGGACTATAGTTGAAATGAGTGCATTTTAAAATTAAACAATGATTCTTTTCAGAAATAAAGTAAATGCTTGTTACTGTGTAATCCTGTTATTGGCATGTAAGATGCATCTATGATATGTGATCTCACAGGATATAGAAGAGAAAATTACATTCTTGGTTAATATGTTGAGGTAAAATAAATAATTGACTTATAACTTCTTTAATTGACTTAAAGTATATCCATGTGCCCTTTTATATTATTAGTGATGCTTACAGTGCTGTACTGTTTTTTTATATAAAGCGTGAAGAATCCATAATTCTGAGTACAAATCATGATAGTAATTACCATTCCAGTATTTTACAATGTAAATTGGTCAAATAAGTATGTGTTAGTGTACTGTAGCTCTGCACTGAAGTTGCCTAAGTAATCAAAGTATATTGGAAGCAGGTATATGTATTTAACAGGGAACTATTTATATGTAGCATTTAAAAATAAATACTTATATCAACGAAATAAATTGGATTAAGGGACTGTGTTATTAAAGGATTTGTAGATCTGTTTCCTGCTTTTTTCAGTATTTAGTTTTAAATAGAAAAAATCTCAGTGACATAAAATTAAGATTCATCAACTTTCATCAGCTAGTTTTTATTTTATGAATGAGTTACTTACAGAGCACATCATGTATAAGAAAAAAATATATATATATGAATAGACTAGTTGGGAATATAGCTCAGATATAGAATGCTTACCTAGCATGCACAAACCGTGGGTTTAATCCCTACTCTTGGGAAGAAAAAAGAATAAATTATATGCTATCTCTGCTTTTAAAGATAATTAAGACCATTATCAAATGAAGGTATGTCGTTGTAAAGATATCCTAGGAATACAGATTGACATAGACACTGTTTTGTAACCATATAAGCTCTAAAAAAAGTTCATGTAGAAAAAGAGCTCCTAATATGGTAAACAACATAAAAAAGACTGTAACAAAAATAAATGCATGAACATATTAATTGCAGCTGTTAAATTATTGAAATAGTACATCTCTATAAAAAGTATAGTTCATTTAAAAATTAATGTGTGTCAATTTTAATATGCCCCTAGAAGACAGATACTATAAATGGAAATGCATAGATTTTCAGCTCCAGTGTTTACTAAATTATCATCTGACCTTTTTTTTCCCCCAGTATGGGAATTGAACTCAGGACCTTGCACTTGCCAGGCAGGTGCAGTGCCACTGAGCTACATCTGTAGCCCTCATTTGATCTTTTGTATTTTAATTTTCTTATTGTTACAGTGGCTTTGTTATGTGAATTAAATAAGATTTATATCTAAAAATAGAGTATAAAATTCTGTGCAAAGTAAATACTATGGTAACAATTTCTTAAAAGTGCTGTGACCTATTGTAGTATATACTATAGTAGATTGTACATAGATATTTACAATAAAG